TGTGTGTGTGTGTGTGTGTGTGTGTGTGTGTGTGTGTGTGTGTGTGTGTGTGTTGTTTATGCACAACTCCTCAAAAAAACATGACTGTGCCACAATGTTTCGTCGGACTTCACGGATCATCAGGGGGTGACAGTCTGCCCATGATGCATTTGCCTGATGAAAGACAACTCACCACGCACCAAGAGTTTTTGTATCTTTGTGTGTGTGTGTGTGTGTGTGTGTGTGTGTGTGTGTGTGTGTGTGTGTGTGTGTGTGTGTGTGAGAGAGAGAGAGAGAGAGAGAGAGAGAGAGAGAGAGACTACACGGGGAGGCATGAGAGGCGCGGGGTATAATTCTGTGATGACCCGTCCATACATGGACTGAAACACACAGCTGATTTCTGAGTTTTGCCCATAGATTGAATGCCCTGCTGAGCTTCCCGCTTGCTACTAAGTCTGTGTGTGCATGTTTGCTGGACTGCATGTCTGTCTGAATGCTGGTTGGCATGAGTATGTGTGTGGCCCGTCAGGGCACTTGCTCGTTCGTTGGGCCCTCAGGGCCGGTACTTACCTGTGTCCGTGGCATTGAGGGGTTGCAGCGGGGACAAACACTCAAGAAGCGGGTAGGCCGGTACGGCGGTAGAGCACCTGGAAGGGGTAGATGTGCTGGTACCGGAGGCCGAGCAGAAGGAGACAAAAGTGGCATTTTTAGAGGCCCAGTAGTTGTAGGCTAGGTCTAGGCGGATATCAGTCCAACCAGTCTGGGTCTAGGGCCTGTACGGGCAATATCAGAGTCTGCAATGATGTTTCCCTCCGAAAGGGAGGAGGTAGCGGTTGCTTGGGAGGCCCCGCCCAAGAGGCAAAGCACGCCGCTATATCTTCTGGCCGGGCGGAGAGTCCGGCCTCTTTTTCGGTGTGCAAGTTTGGCAACACACTGGTGGAGCGCTGGCTGGAGCAGCGCTAAGGGTCTGATCCGACACTACATACGGTAAGTAAAAAAGTGCGTTTTCGCGGATCCCGCACTGTTCCGAACTCGTAGGAGGTCCCGTTAGCTTAGGAGGCGAGTGGCGCCGAAAAAGATGTAAGGAAAATCGAGGAGAATGCAAGAGAGCTCGGCCCGTACCCTGCCGCGAAAAAGAAGGGGCACTTTTTTTTCTTTTTTCTTTTTTTGGTACTGTCCGTTTGGGTGGGCTGGTTTGTCCCTGGTTCGGTTCGCTGTGTGGCACAGCAGGCCCCCCTGCGTTCGGTCCCGGTAGTGTCCGTGCCACTGGACCGTTTTCCTATCCCTACGAAACCCGCCCAACGAAAACCGCCGAAACCCACCTGAATGCTGCGAACGATACGGGCCAGTGGGGTCCCGATTTTCTTTACGGCCGACTGGAGCGGCCCCACCTTTTTCGTTACTTTTACGGATTCGTCTTCCGTATGTAGTGTTGGATCAGACCCTAAGCTGGAGCAGCGCTGCTGGGGGGGAAGGAGAAGGACACGAGGGAGGAAGAAGGAGGAAGAAGGAAGGAAGGGGGAGGAGCGCCAGGGGTGCTTACCTGGCTATGGTGGCAGCCATCTTCATCACCTTGGTGGGCGCTGCAGCAGAGAGTCCCCAGCCGGGGAGAGCTACACCAAGAAGCTTCGGGGCAGGGTCAGGCATGGCGGCCTGAGCTAGAGCAGCCATAGCTGCTTTGGGTTGTCCTTTGGGCATCTGAGCAAAGCCCAGTAGTCCGCCATAGCCTCGGCCTATGAGAGTGAAGAGTGGGAGAGGCAGCCATGGCTATGGTGGACCTTGAGTGATACTTGCAGTAGAAGAGGGACTCGGACATTGATTCTGGATCAGTCATTAAACATTGTATTACTATTTCTTGTATGAATAAGAGAAGGGGGAGATAAGGAGGAGGAGATTGTTGGGTGCCATCTGCCACAATTCATGGCAGATGTGTGTGGTTGCACTTACTCGCCACTCTATTTCTTCTACCAAAACTTGTCTGCCTGATCTGTACTCGTGAAGAGCTGCAGTCCAAGGTAAATATGCCTGGATTGTCCGCCCAGACTCCAGGCCCGCTCATGAAAATCCTCACCGTGTCAAGAGACCTTCAGACCACTCTGGCAAAACCTGTCGGTGCAGGCTGGTAGGCAAGGTGCTCTAGGTGACCTCTACCGACGGGATAATTGGTAGAAAGAGCCCACCCCAAAACCTTTCCGGTTTTGGGCGCCCGAAACTCGGCCGTTTGGTAC